AAAGTTATAATAATGGAGTTGGGTGGGTTGATGTTGAGGTTTTGGGTAGAGGTGTTGAAGTTGGTGGCATGCTGGGAGTGTAAATGATCCTGGAGGGTTGATTGTTGGCTCTGTAAGATACATTGGTGAAAGGGGTTTTTTGCAGTATTTGGAGCAGTGTTCAAAGGAAGCCTGGGGTCGGGAATCGGGTGGGTTACTCGTTGGGGCTATTTTGGATACAGGGGCAAGCCTATTGCCCCTAAAGTGGGGATATATTTTCATTACGGGCCATGGAAGCCTGGATATGTTGGGGATAAAAGCATTCCCACCCCTAGGTCCCCTTGAGGGTAAGGGCTAGATTAACTAAATCAGGGACTACCGTGCCATGGCTCCCTCAGGCCGTTCCCGGACTAGCACAAAAGTCAGCCTTTCAATCCTTTCAGCACGGCTCTCACCCTTAGGATGTGGATAGCAGTAAGGGTTTGGTGAAGGACAGAACAAAATTGGGAGGGAAAAAAAAAGACCATGCATAATTAGTTGAGTCGAGGGCTGAGTCCCAAGGTTGGGGAGTTCCCCATCATTGGGTCCCAGTCTCCGCCTCCTAAGCCCCCCCACGACAACAACGGGCAAGAGATTGGGGTGGTGTTGGTTGGGGTTGTTGTTGGCTGGGGGGTGTTGTTTGTTTGGGGTGTTGTTGGCTGGTTGGGGGTAGCTGGGTTGGTGTGGGGGGAGTGATTGGGTGATGGTGTGGATGTTGGGTGTGCTGGGTGGGTGTGGGGGAGGATTGGTTGGATAAGTGTGGGCTGGGTGGGTGTGGATGGTGTTGGTTGGGCGGGTTGGGGGTGATTGGGTGTGGCTGGTGGAAGGTTGTGTTTGGCTGGGTGGGTGTGGCTGGATGAATGGTTGAGTGTGGCTGGGTGTAGCTGGTTGAGTGTGGCTGGGTGTAGCTGGTTGGTTGGGGGTGGGGTGTGGTTGGATGTGACTGGGTGGGTGTGGCTAGGTGGCTGGTTGGGTATGGCTGGGTGGTTGTGTGTGGTTGGGTAGGCGGGGGTGGATGGTAGGTTGAGAGTGACTAGGTGGCTGTTCAGGGTTTGGCTGGTTGGCTGGTCGGGGTGTATCTGGGTGGCTGGGTGGGTAGTTGGATGTAGCAGGGTAGTTAAGTAGGGATTGGGGGTGGCTGGAGGGAGGTGTTGCTGGCTGGAGGGGATGGCTGACTAGGTGGTGGAGGAGGGTGTTGCTGGCTAGGGGGGTGGCTGAGACGGGTGTTGCTGGAGGGGGCGTTTCTGGTTGGATGGGTGTTGTTGGCTGGGGGGGTGTTACTTGGCTGGAGGGGGTGGCTGAGGGGTGTTGCTGGAGGGGGCGTGTTCTGGTTGAGGGCGTTGATGGTTGGAGGGGAATGGGCTGACTGGGGGGTGGAGGAGGGTGTTACTGGCTGGAGGGTGTTGCTGGCTGGGGGGTGTTGCTGGCTGGAGGGGGTGGCTGAGGGGGCGTTGCTGGAGGGTGTTGCTGGCTGGAGGGGGTGGCTGAGGGGTGTTGCTGGAGGGGGCGTTGCTGGTTGGGGGGTGTTACTGTCTGGGGGTGGGTGGTTGAGGGGTGTTGCTGGCTGGGGGGTAGTTACTGGCTGGATGGGTGGCTGAGGGGTGTTGCTGGCTGGAGGGTGTTACTGGCTGGGGGGGGTGTTGCTGGCTGGAGGGTGTTACGGCTGGGGGGTGTTTGCCTGGAGGGGGCGTTGCTGGTTGGGAGGGGTGTTACTGGCTGGGGGGGGTGGTTGAGGGGTGTTGCTGGAGGGGGCGTTGCTGGCTGGAGGGTGTTGCTGGCTGGGGGGTGTTACTGGCTGGAGGGGGTGGTTGAGGGGTGTTGCTGGAGGGGTGTTGCTGGCTGGGGGGTGTTTGCTGGCTGGGGGGTGTTGCTTGGCTGGAGGGTGTTACTGGCTGGGGGTGTTATTGGCTGGAGGGGGGTGGTTGAGGGGTGTTGCTGGAGGGGTGTTGCTGGCTGGGGGGTAGTTACTGGCTTGAGGGGTGTTGAGGGGTGTTTGCTGGAGGGTGTTGCTGGCTGGAGTGGGTGGTTGAGGGGTGTTGCTGGAGGGGGTGGCTGAGGTGGCGTTGCTGGCTGGGGGGGTGTTACTGGCTGGAGGGGGTGTTGCTGGCTGGGTGGTGTTGCTGGCTGGAGGGGGTGGCTGAGGGGTGTTGCTGGAGGGGGTGTTGCTGGAGGGGGTGTTGCTGGTTGGAGGGGGTGGCTGAGGGGTGTTGCTGGAGGGGGCGTTGCTGGCTGGGGGGTGTTACTGGCTGGGGGGTGTTACTGGCTGGAGGGGGTGGTTGAGGGGTGTTGCTGGCTGAGGGGTGTTGCTGGAGGGGGCGTTGCTGGCTGGGGGGTGTTACTGGCTGGAGGGGGTGGTTGAGGGGTGTTGCTGGCTGGGGGGTGTTACTGGCTGGAGGGGGTGTTACTGGCTGGAGGGGGTGGTTGAGGGGTGTTGCTGGAGGGGGTGTTGCTGGCTGGGGGGTGTTGCTGGCTGGGGGTGTTACTGGCTGGAGGGTGTTACTGGCTGGAGGGAGTGGTTCAGGGTGTTGCTGGCTGGGGAATGTTACTGGCTGGAGGGAGTGGTTGAGGGGTGTTGCTGGAGGGGGTGTTGCTGGCTGGGGGGGTGTTACTGGAGGGGGTGTTACTGGCTGGAGGGAGTGGTTGAGGGGTGTTGCTGGAGGGGGTGTTGCTGGCTGGGGGGTGTTACTGGCTGGAGGGGGTGGTTGAGGGGTGTTGCTGGCTGGGGTGTGTTACTGGCTGGAGGGGGTGGTTGAGGGGTGTTGCTGGCTGGAGGGGGTGGTTGAGGGGTGTTGCTGGCTGGGGAATGTTACTGGCTGGAGGGAGTGGTTGAGGGTGTTGCTGGCTGGGGGGTGTTACTGGCTGGGGGGTGTTACTGGCTGGAGGGGGTGGTTGAGGGGTGTTGCTGGCTGGAGGGGGTAGCTGAGGGGTGTTGCTGGCTGAGGGGTGTTGCTGGCTGGGGGGTGTTACTGGCTGGAGGGGGTGGCTGAGGGGTGTTGCTGGAGGGGGCGTTGCTGGCTGGGGGTGTTACTGGAAGGGGTGTTACTGGCTGGAGGGGGTGGCTGAGGGGGTGTTACTGGCTGGGGGGGGGTGTTGCTGGCTGGGGAGTGTTACTGGCTGGAGGGGGTGGTTGAGGGGTGTTGCTGGCTGGAGGGGGTGGCTGAAGGGTGTTGCTGGCTGGAGGGGGTGGCTGAGGGGTGTTGCTGGAGGTGGTGTTGCTGGAGGGGGCGTTGCTGGCTGGAGGGTGTTGCTGGCTGGGGGGTGTTACTGGCTGGAGGGGGGTATGGCTGGCTGGAGGGTGTTGCTGGCTGGAGGGTGTTACTGGCTGGAGGGTGTTACTGGCTGGAGGGTGTTACTGGCTGGGGGGGTGGTTGAGGGGTGTTGCTGGCTGGAGGGTGTTACTGGCTGGGGGGGGTGGTTTGAGGGGGTGTTGCTGGCTGGAGGGTGTTACTGGCTGGGGGGGGTTGGTTCAGGGGTGTTGCTGGAGGGGGCGTTGCTGGCTGGAGGGTGTTGCTGGCTGGGGGGTGTTGCTGGCTGGGGGTGTTGCTGGCTGGGGGGTGTTGCTGGTTGGAGGGTGTTGCTGGCTGGGGGGTGTTGCTGGTTGGAGGGTGTTACTGGCTGGAGGGGGTGGTTGAGGGGTGTTGCTGAAGGGGGTGTTGCTGGTTGGAGGGGGGTGGCTGAGAGGTGTTGCTGGAGGGTGTGTTGCTGGAGGGGTTGGCTGGGGGGGGGGGGTTGGAGGGTAGCTAGAGGGGTGGGTGGGTGTGACTGAGGATGTGGCTGGGGAGTGGCTGGGTTTGTCTAGGTGGCTGGGTTGGTAGTTGGATGTGCCTGGGTGGTTGAGTAGGGGTGGGGATGGCTGGGGTGTGGCTTGGTGGTTGGATAGCTGTGGGTGGTGGGTAGGGGGATGGGTAGGGGGTGGTTGGGAGTAGTTGGATGTGGCTGGGTGGGTGTTGCTGGGGGAGTGGGTGGGGGGAGTGGGTGTATATGTGTCACAAGGGCTGAGGACGAGTGTCGCATCTCAAAATTTCTTTATCTACTTTTCTTTCTCCCTCGCTCTTTCCGGCTTCTTGGGTTCTTGATTTTCTTTTCATCCCTTGTCTACTTCTGATTATTTTTTAATTTGTGATTTTATTTCGGAATCACATAATCATTACCAAAGAATAGGAAGTTTTTTTATATATATAGACTGTATTGTTACTTATTTGATTGGCTCATATTCAGGGCCGGATTATCCTTTAGGTTAGTTTAGGCTGCAGCCTAGGGCTTGGTTATAAACAAAAATGTTATTTTCACGACGGTTGTCTTCTAATATAGTAAAAGTGGTATTTAAAGAATATTTTTTTTATTGACAAACAAAAGATAGCTATGCTAGTTTATTTAAAGAATTTGCAATAAGTTTACTTCAAGCTATCTAAATGTTTTTTCACTCGTGATATATTTTTAGCGACATTCTGAGGGGGTCCCAAAAGGTCATAATCCGGCCCTGCTCATAATGGAGTTGCCAGATGGGGAATGAATATGCACAATGTGTTTCAGGTGTACGTGTTTGGCGCCCTCATGTTCTTCGGTAGGATGCGTGTACGTTTGTTTCATTTGTACATTATATACTCACACCTCTCATTTTCTCCCTGTTCACTCTGTATGTTTATGTATGCTAAATGTATGAGAACAGCATTACAGCACTTTCCTGCGTGAAAATCCAGGTATATTAGATTCATATTGACATACATACAGGAAGGTAATACGTGTTGTGGGTACACGCGTAAGCACACATATAATGCACATACATGATTATGTATACACATGTATATATTCATGTATATACACATAGCATTTCTACCTCAGTAAAAATGTTATGTTTACTGCATGCATTTTCTCTATGCATCTATTCATCTTTCTTCAAATACATGTTCTGAAGTGTCATTGCTACTTTGCCGAAAAGTCTTTACATTGCACAGTCTCCAGTGAAAGTGACTGCATGTTTAGGGAGGAAAAAAGGAAAAAAAACGGCATAAGTTGTGAGAGGTGTTTGAGGGGGGAGGGGAAGAAGAAAAATGGCGTGCGTTGTTGTGTGTTTGGAGAGGAGAAATAGAAAAAAAAAAAAAAATTCTTCCAAGGGTAGTCATAAAACAGAGGTAATAATCTTTATTTGGGTGGTAATTGTATCATTACCAATGAATACAACGATAACACCAGCTACAATAAGATCAATCAATATAATGATAATGATAATAACAACTACAAAGGTAATGATAATAATAATAACATTAACACAAGAGTGTAAATGGTAATAATAGTAACAATAACGAAAACAATAACAGTCATGATAATAAGAATAATAATAAAAATATTCATGATAAGAATAGTAGTAATAATACTTATAATAAATAATATATACATACCACAACACACATTTTTATATATATGTGTATATATAAATATATATATATATATATATATATATATATATATATATATATATATATATATATATATATTATATATATATATATTTTCATATGTTTATGTATATTCATTTTTATATGTCTTCATATATATAAAAATATGAAATATAAATATGTATATAATTACAGATTTATACATTTATTAAAATATATATACTTATATTTATATTCATATTTATATATATACTTATATAATATATATATATATATATATATAATATATATATAGAGAGAGAGAGAGAGAGAGAGAGAGGAGAGAGAGAGAGGAGAGAGAGAGAGAGAGGAGAGAGAGAGAGGAGAGAGAGAGAGAGAGAGAGATAAATATGTAAAGGTATATAATTTGTATATGTATATACAATGTATATATATGTATATATCTGTATATATATAGATATATGAATATATATATAATATATATATATCAATATTATTATATGAATATATCTATCCCAATATATACATGAATCTATATGAATATTATGAATATATAATGTATATATGTTGCATATATATACATATATGATATATATATGAATATATATATAGTAATCTATATAATGAATATATATATATTATCAATATATAGAGAATATAGATGAATATATATTGAATATATATATACCTATAGATATATTATACTTATATATATATTGTCATGTGTTGTATTATATATGTGTATGTATATATATTACATATTATATATATATATATATTATATATATATATATATATATATATATATATATATATATATGTATATATATATCATTATATATATTATATATATATATATATTCTATATTATATCTATATATATATATATATGTATATAAGTATACTACATATATATATAGGTATATATATTAAAGTATATATATCTATGTGTATAATATATGTATTACTATATATGTATATATATATATATATACCATATGTTTATATATGTATATTACATGTATATCTACATGTATAGCTACATGTATAATTTACATGTATATATAATGTATATATACATGTATATTACATGGTAGAGATACATGAGATATACATGTAGGTATACATGTTGCTATACATGTAGATTTTACATGTATATATACATGTATTATACATGTATATATGTATATATATATATATAGACATATATACATTTAAATGTATATATGCATGTCATATGCATGTATATACCTATACATTATATAAAAATATACATATATCACATTATACATATACATATATACATATACATACATACATCTGCATATATACAA